GCCGATGCTCCGGGGTCTGACCGGTGGGCCCCTTCTCTTCCAGCTCTCTCGGCTGCCCAGGCTTTTTCTTGTGGGGCCGGGGCTTTGGAGGTCGACTCGGCCCCGGGGCCTGGTATAGAGGCTCCTGGGGTTGGGAAGGAGCGGCCTTGGGGGCCGTGAGCTCCATTGCGCCCCGCCTGGATTTCCGTCCTTCTGAGCGGGGCTTACTGTTGCATGGAGTTGGGTTTTCTTTCCCCCCTCTGCGTACGATTTGGGCTTGGGTTCTGCTCCTCCCCAGGTTCGGTTCCGTCTTCCTGAAGTTTTCGGCTACCCGCATCTTTTCGCCTGCGGTGCGGTTGGCCTTTGCGGCTTACCTCCTGCATGTCCTGGAGTTTGCTTCCATACTGGTTCCTTCTGTTCTGGCCAGGTTGGGCTCCTTTGTAGATGTTTGGGCTCCTTTGTAGCCGTTTGGGTTCCTTGTAGCAGTTTGGGCTCCTTGCAGCCGTTTGGGCTCCTTGCAGCCGTTTGGGCTCCTTGCAGTCGTTTGGGCTCCTTTGTAGCCATTTGGGCTCCTTTGTAGCCGTTTGGGCTATTTGTAGCCGTTTGGGCTCCTTGCAGCCGTTTGGGCTCCTTGCAGCCGTTTGGGCTCCTTGCAGTCGTTTGGGCTCCTTGTCGCCGTTTGGGCTCCTTGTCGCCATTTTTGGGCTCCTTATAGCCGTTTTGGGCTCCTTGTAGCAGTTTGGGCTACTGTCGCCAGTTGGGCTGCTTGTCGCCGGTTGGGCTACTTCTTGCCTTGTTGGGCTCCATGTAGCCGGTTGGGCTACTGTCGCCAGTTGGGCTACTTCTCGCCTTGTTGGGCTACTTCTCGCCTTGTTGGGCTACTTCTCGCCTTGTTGGGCTACTTCGCGCCTGGTTGGGCTACTTCGCGCCTGGTTGGGCTACTTCTCGCCTGGTTGGGCTACTTCTCGCCTGGTTGGGCTACTTCTCGCCTGGTTGGGCTACTTCTCGCCTGGTTGGGCTACTTCTCGCCTGGTTGGGCTACTTCTCGCCTGGTTGGGCTACTTTGCTTTCGCGTCCTGCGCATGCGCCGTGGGAGTTTGTTTTGATTCAGGGCGGTGTGCACACGTGTTCTGCATCCATTTTCTCTTTTGGGGCGGTTGGTGTTGGCTTCACCTCTCGCTTTTTTCTTAATCCAATCCGTGCCCCGTTGCTTTGGGGGTGTTCTGGGGTGCCGCTGTGGGGAAGTCACGAGGTTTTTCCCTGCATTCTAGGGTGGGGAGCCTCCTTCGCTGCTCCCCTCCTCTCCAACATGGGCGCCCTGGCCGCCTCTGGCGGCAACGGACTCGAAAGCATGCGTCATGGCCCTTCAGCGCCTATGTTCTGCAGGCGAGTTGGTGCGGTTTGGCGTCTCCTTCGTCCAGACGCTGTTTTTGTTTTTTTGAAGTAGGAATGAGTGTACTGTACATACGTACTTGAGAACGTTGACCGTATCACCCGAGGTGCCTACTGCAGGGCTATTAGCCCATACAGGGCAGCTCTTGTTCTCTCCACCTGATTCCTTCCTCGGTTCACGGGTGTCTGCGGGTGGCATCTTGGCCCTTCCGAGGCGGCTCCTGCCTGTACTCCTCCTGCCCCTCTCCTATGCTTGTCTAACCTTGCTTGAGTTCGGGGCCCCGCCTCCACCTTGTTCCGCAGTGCAACGGTGGGGGTGCCTGTTCGGTGGTACGTTTTCCTGTGTCGAGGGTGTTTTGTGCTCGCCTCATTGTGCTTGCAGGATTGGGTTCTGGCTCTTTGGTTTCGCCTCTCCCCTGTTGTTTGCCTGTCGAGCGGATTCTGTGCTTCATGGGCGCTCTTGTCTCTGCTCTTGGGCTGTGTACGGGGTCAGCCCAAGTTGGGCTGCCTAATGTGTTCCTTCGCTTGCCTGTTACACTGCACACGTTTCTTCTACCGTCCCTGTGGCTCAGTTGGGTGCTCAGTTTCCGCCTGTGTCCCCTTGTGTGCCACTCGTGTACGATTTATCTATCTTCTCTGTCACTTCCTCGGGGAGTGTGGTGACGTTTTGCTGCGGTTTTGGTACTGCAGCTGCATGTCGGGGTTGGTTGTGGCATTATGTTCGGCCCTTCCGTGCTCCCTCTGGGGCTCTCCTTCCTTGCCGGTCTTGCTGTGCCGGGCCTGGTTTTTCCATGTTCCTTGGATTCTCTGTCTTGTCCTCGCCTCATTGTGCTGGCTGGGGATGAGCTTGGGGTCTTCGTCTCGCCCCTCGCCTATCCTCCGGTTTCGGTTCAAGTTCCAGAGCCTAGTGGGCTCCCTTCCTTAGTGTTTTTCATGGCTGCCCCGGGGTTTTTCTTGACGCTGGGGCTTTGAGGGGACAGCTCGGCCCCGGGGCTGGGGTGGGGCTAACGTGAGGGGCCTCAGGCCCCCTTTGGTCCCCGCCAGGGTATTTCTACCCCTCTGGGCGGGGCTTGCAGTTTGGTGGTGTGGGGTTTTTCCGTTCCCCCTCTCCGCATGTGCTTTGTGGGCATCGGCCCCTCCGTGGGCTCGGTTTCCTTGTCCATTGTTCCCGTTGTTTCCATCCTGTCGGTGGGTGCTTTTCTACGGTTTTCGCCCCTTTTTTCCGGGACAGGCCTTCTCCGTCATGTCCCCCTCTTCTTGGGGTTTCTGCATGACTTTTGGTCTCGGGTGCGACGGGGTTTTTGTGCCTTCATCCTTTGTGTTTGCTTCTTTTTGTTCTCGAAGGTTTGGGCCAGTTTTGCTGCTTCCTGTTTTCTGGTACGTCTGTCGTCATTCGGTTGAGCTTCCCTCCGGTCCTTTCTAGGGCTTGTGGGTCCTATTCCCGGCAGCTTCTGGGTGTTTGGCCTTCTTTTTCTTTTGTGCACATCTCTTCTCTTCGCGCTGTCTCGGCGCTACTCATTTTCCCGGGGGTGATTTTGCTCCTCTTAATGAGTCTTTTCGCTCCTGCCCTTCTGTGGGATGTTGGTGCGGGGCGGCTCCTTATGCGAGTTCCTTCCCTGTCGGCTGCACCTGTGGCGGTGGATTTGCACGCTTGTGGCATTTTGGTTTTGGTCCTGCGTTTTCTTTTCCCTCCTGGGGCTGTCATAGGATTGGCTTGCGGAGGATGTAGAGGCACTTGGGGCTGTTCCTGGGTCTGGCACCTTGGTTTCTGCTGCTAGCTTTTGGTATCGATATTCCTTCTGCGCCGTTTCGCAGGCTGTCTCGTGCGTTGTCTCACCTCCGGCCTGCTTATGCACTGCCTGTGCTGTCCTGGTCTTTGGACAGGGTGCTCTCCTGTCTTCCTTCTCCATGTTGGCTGTGGCTCCTTGGGGTCAGGTTTGCTTTGCCTCGGCTCTCTTTTTATGTTGGCATTGGCCTCTGGGGGTCGTGTGGCGGAGCTTCATGCTCTTCTCAAGCGCAGTGGTTTTTGGCTCCTATGGTCGTGGTCATAGGTTTCTTCGTCTGCGGCCGTTCTCCCTTTTTCTGGCGAATGATGTGCCTGCTGCTTTCCGGATGGGTCCTTGGGTTGTTGTCTCGACTTCGTGTTGAGGAGTGGTTCACCGACCGCCTCCTGGGTATGTCCCCTTGTTTTCTTAGGTAGTCTTTGATGAAGTAGCTCTGGGGAGCCGTAGGGGCTCCCCCAGAAAACCAGCGTTGAATGTAATGAAACGCCATTTTCTGGGTGAGTCCCAGAGGCTCCCCGGGACTCACCCTCCCGCCCTCTGGTCGGCGTTTTTTTTTTCGCGGTTTTGATATCCAGCCTCAGAACTGGGGCGGGGATCGCCGGTGCGGGGGTCTGGGGCTCCCCCTTTCCCCTCCCGGGGAAGGGGGAGCTGCGCAGACATGCGGCATGGCTCGTGTGACGTCATGCTTGTTAGTTCGTTTTCCTGGGCGAGTTCTGTCCCCTCGTTTGTCGATTTTTGTTGTTAACCAGAATAGGGGTTTGTTTTGTGGCGCTTACCTTTCTGGGTGCCTGTCCCGGTCGATGGCAGATATAGAATGCTCCAAATCACATGTGCATTTCTATGGGCCATTGCTCCCCGTGCCTCTCTGAATTCCAGTAAAGAGGTGCACCCTAAACTTGCACAGGCTGAGGTTGGTAGAAGGTTAGGACGCTGGGTGACCTGGGCTGCCACCTGGTGGTAGTCACACGCATCAAGCTTTATCTTGTTCACCCATCAAAACAATCAATTGCCTTATTTGCCTCTTAACTTATAGAATTATTTAGGCACAAGTTTGTCTTGCTTCACCTATCTTTTTGGTGGGTTTTCTTTGTTTTGCACTGGTCTCTCATCTGCAAGTTAACCTCACCTTGTAGATGGTACTAATTTCTAGTCCTTGTTCTTGGTAGGTCAGCGTGGGTCTTGGAAGCCTAACAAACTTCTCATGGCTTCAATACACCATAGCTCAAGCTACAAGGCACTCTTAAAGAGGCTTCCCAGAAAATTATCGTTATCTTCATATCAAAATAGTATTTCAACATTTCACCCATAGCTGTATTTTCAAGAGGCATTTGTTTCAACTCTTTTAAAAATGAAATATATTTAACATAAAATAACCCACAATGAATAAAATATATATCTATAAAAGAGAAATGGATATATGTATATCAACCCGTTCTCGCAAATTCGTAAAGTCAATATTGACTTATTAACTACGTGCATAGGTGATATACTAAACATAATAGATACCCCTAAAAAGATTCATAGAAAACACCGACCTTACCTAACCTTGTTAGTATCTTAAGATAATCATCTTATTGCTTCGTAATTACAATTATTACTTAACCTATACCTATTATAGGTTAGGTAATAATTGTAATTACGAAGCAATAAGATGCTTATCTTAACATACTAAGTAGGTTAGGTAAGGTCGGTGTTTTCTATGAATCTTTTTAAGGGTATCTATTATGTTAAGTATGTCACCTATGCACATATTTAATAAGTCAATATTGACTTATTAAATTTGCGAGAACGGGTTGATGTATATAGGGGCCACAACGTTAATATTGTTAAATTTAGACAAGTTACCTGTTGTTTAGCTGTTAGAGCCACAACTGATGGCTGGGAAGTAGTGGTGTGTGCTTCAGCTCCCGACACAACAGTGCCAGTACCCTAAAAAGAGTAAACATTATAAACATCATAGTAGAGTTATTATGGGAGTTCACTTTAGTAAACTGTAAAGGAAATTGCATGAAATAACACCTAACATTTAGTTGTGGTGTAATGAATATCTATTACCCAAAGAGTAATCCTTCAGGAAGTAGGTTGGCTGATATAGGTTGCTCATGGAAGCACTACTGATGAGTGAAAATGTTCTCTCACTGTCACCATTGATAAGTCTTTTCTTTTCTACTTCATACTCTTCCCCCCATTATCTCCTTAACCTTTAAACTGTGCAAATTGTATATATACGATTTTAGTATAAGTGGCAGAATGGGACACATCATATATACAGTATACATTTTGAAGTACCGTGTAAGAATTAAAAGTCCTGCCGGTATATGGGGTTCACAACAGCTTCCTCAGGACTCTAGTAAACAGACGCCATTTAAAAAAAAACAGCGCTCAATGTAATGAAATGCCATTTTCTGGGTGAGTCCCGGAGGCTCCCCGGAGCTATCCATGGCTGATATGAATACCCTAACTATTTTGCATCAGTCCATGTGGGTGGAGTTCTAGGCCTACTGGGGACCACGAGCCAGAACCTGGCCCCCTCACAGAGCCACGAGGAGCAATCACATAGAATGCATATGTGATTTGGAGCATTCTATATCTGACATCGACCAGGACAGGCATCCAGAAAGGTAAGCGCCACTAAACAAACCCCTATTCTGGTTAACAATGAAAATTGTCAAACAAGTGGACAGAACTTGTTTGCTCCACTTGTCAAACAAGTGGAGCAAACAAGCATGACGTCACACGAGCTGCGCCGCATGTCTGTGCAGCTCCCCCCACCCCGGGAGGGGGAAGGGGGAGCCCCAGACCCCCGCGCCGGCAATCCCCACCCCAGTTCTGAGGCTGGATATCAAAAACCACGAAAAACTGCTGAGCAGAGGGAGGGGGGGGGGGTTGCTGGGGAGCCTCAAAGACTCAGCCAGAAAATGGCATTTCATTACATTCAATGCTGGTTTTCTGGGAGGAAGCCCCTACGACTCCCCTGAGCTACTTTACCAAAGATAACAAAAGAAAAAGGGGGACTTACCCGGGAGGCGGTCAGTGCTCCACTCCTCAACTCGAAGTCAAGACAACAGGCTGCAACTGCAGACCCAAAGCAACACAGGCCCGACTGGGCCCAGGAGCGTTCACGAGGTAGAGTGCAACCAGGATCCTGTTCGACTGCCAAAAACCCCATGCCCGAATGTCAGCCCAAGACATACTGCCAAAGATGGCAGCAAGAGCAGCAAACTTACGAACGTCATGGGCACAGGGATAGACCGCAGGCTGGCTGGATTTAATTACTCTGTGGACAACCTGAGAGACCCGAACCCGCGAACAGGGAAGAAGGGAAACCGGATCAACTCAAAGTGCGTCCCCGGACACAGAAGCCATAGTGCGCAGATAACAGCGGAGGACCGCTGTTATCCTCACAACACATGATGAACCCCTGGCCTGACCAACCAAGCATCAACAACCCAAGGACCCCTTTGGAAGGCAGCAGTCTCATTCTTCGCCAGAAAAGGAGGAGATGGCTGTAGATGGACATACCTATGACCACGACCAAAAGAGCAAAAACCTCTGCGCAGGAGAAGAGCATGAAGCTCCGCCACGCGACCCCCCAGAGGTTAATGTCAACAGAAAAAGAGCCTTAGCAAAACAATCCTGAGCAGAAGGGGCCACAACAAACCAAGGAGAAGAAAGATAGGAGAGCACTCTGTCCAAAGACCAGGACAGCTCAGGCGGCGCATGAGCAGGCCGGAGGTGAAACAACGCACGAGACAGCTTGCGAAACGGTGCAGAAGTAACATCAATACCGAAAGCAAGCTGCAGCAGCTCCGCAGCACCGCACGATACGAGGCGACAGCATTAGGCATAAGATGACAGTCCTGGAACAACCAAAAGAGAAAAGACAACAACACCCAAATCGAAAGCGAAGAGCAACGACGAAGGGATAAAAAAAAACCAGAAGGATCGCCAGGAAACCTCATACTGTCGCTGAGAAGCCCGCAGGTGGGAAACCAGCAAGGAAGCCACCTGATCACCATAGAGATGGTGATAAACATGAGTCAAAAACACCAAACGCAAAGACTCTCGGAGAAGACTCGTCCATATAGGTCCAGGTTTACCAGGCCCTCCAGGTAAACCTGGACCACTGTCAATGCTTCGCGCCACTCAAACTTGCGGGTCCGACAGAACGAGTCCCAAGCATCCAATGAAAACAAGGGGCAGTCTGCAAGCCAGGATGACCTCGGAACTGCATAACGCACCCAGTAAGGACATGATGATCCAAACTTGAACGAAGAAAGATCCATTATGGAGGCGTACTCCGGGTCACACAGGAGGTAAGCCGCAATGGCAGACCGCACCTCAGGCGGCGAGATGCGGGAAGCTGAAAACCTCCGGAAAGACGGAATCGAAGAATCCACAGAAACACGGAACCGAACCCGGGAAGGAGCAGAACCCAAGTTCAAATCCTATGCAGAGGGGGAAAAAGAAAACCCCACTCCTTGCAAACAGTAAGACCCGCTCAGAAGGATGGAAAATTCAGGCAGGGTCCAATGGAGCCCAAGGCCCCAAGTCAGCTCCTCCCCAACCCCAAGAACCTCCACTCCAGGTCCCAGGGCCGAGTCGTCCTCCAAAGCCCCGGCCTCATAAGAAAAAGCTGGGCAGCCGAAAGAGCCGGAAGGTAAGGGGCCCACTGGTCAGACCCCGGAGCATCGGTAGGAGGAACTAACTCGAATTCCTCCGCAGCCACCCCGGGAGGGGCAACACCCGAGACTGCTCGAGTCTCAGAAACCTCTAAACCCCGCACCAACCCCGAAGCCCTCAGACGCTTAGGCCAGAAGCAGGGGGAGGGGGGGGGGGAGACTGAATGACCCACCAAAGGGGAAGAATGAGGGGGTGCAGACGGAATCAAGGCTGAAGCGACCAACACCCCCAAGTCCGAGTCCCAATAGGCAAAGCGGGGTAGCCTCGTGGCGTCTGGGGAAGCGACAACCCGAGCGCGTTGCAATAACCTAAACCTACCCTGCAAAGGGTGTGCTGCCTGCACCCGAAGAAAATCATCATCAGTCTAGGTGAATTGAGTCACGAACAAGCAACATAGCTAGCAGGACTCAGGGTCGAGTGTGTCACCGACCCAACAGGCAGCATGACGTAAGCAAAAACAACGTGTGTCGCCCTGAAACCAGGGGACAGAGCAACCCTCAAACTCGCACAAAGTGAGAGGGAATGCAAGGGTCTCCTCCATTGAACCCGAGAGCCCCTGCGGGGTTTTCCAGGGCCCCTAGACCCTGTGAGGGGGGCTAGGTTCTGGCTCATGGTCACGGTAGGCCTAGAACTCCCCCCACATCGACTGATGCAAAATAGTTAGGGTATCCATATCAGCCATGGATAGTGGCTGTAGGGGCTCCCCCCAGAAAAAATCGTGGGGTACCATTTCCGGGTATGAAGGCCTCAGTACTGAGTGAGCAACTAAGGCTGGTGCATGAAGCATGAACTCACAGCACTGCTGTTCAGCTTGTGATCACAGCATCGCCTGAAAATATCAAAATATATATGTATCTGCTATTATTTAGCGATGATAGTATTACAGAAGAGCCTGAGTGTGATAAAGACTGTGCACAATGTTCAGATATCAGTGAACACAATGATGTTCAAGATGGTCACAGTGCTAGCTACAGCACACTGCTATTGTTTGGTTCATCTAAGAATCTTGAAACAATTTATCATGTTCCTTTACAAAATAAACTTGGTGGAAAATTATTCATTTATAGGATTTAGTGACCAGCATTCTGATAATAGCCCATAGCAACAGCTGGACAGGGGGATGAAGGTACAGGAATCCCCACCTTGACCAGTCCTGCCGGAGAGCGTCTACTGCAAACGCCTCTCAATCGGGAAACAGCGCCACATATATTGGGAGGCGCCAGGACCAAGCCGACGCGAAGAGATCCACCTCCGGGCACCCGAACCTCCGACAAAGCCACAGGAAAGAGGCAGCATCGACCATCCACTCAGTCGAAAGAGAAATGATGAAGGAATGAAGTCCCTGGCGAGCAGACATGCAGACCGGCTGGGAGGCCAAACCAACCAGTCATCGAGGTAGGTCAAAATCCGAACCCCCTAGCAGAAGACGGGCCACCACGACCTGGATTCAGTGTGTGAACATGCGAGGTGTCATATTCAAGCCAAATGTAAGTCAACGAAAGCAATAAACCTGATGCCCGACCACGAAACCTAGCTAATCCCTGAACCCCAGTTAAATAGGAATGTGCCAATATGCATCCTTGAGGTCCAGAGATATTATCCAAGCACCCAGCTTGAGAAGAAGCCGGACATGGTACCAAGGAAGTCATCCGAAAAGAGAGGCAAAGAATCCAACGGTTCAGACGGGACAAGTCCAGAATGAACCGCAGATCCACAGTCCCGTTTCGGAACCGGAAACAAGCGGGAAATTCACTTAAGGGACGAAGTAATTTCAGACATGCCCAAGTGAACCAATTCCAAGATGACCTGACAGAGAGAGATGGGGAAGAAGCCTGCCCAGCCAGCCCCAAACTTCCTACCACAGAAAGAGGAAGAGGAAGAGGCCGGAAGAGACGATGCAAAAAGCCCACAAATCGTGGGACCAAGTGTGGGCAAACAGAGCAATCCCCCCCCTATCATCTCGCGAAAGGACCAATGCGACCTTCAAGAAGCTGACTTTCATGCAGAGCGACCACCGTACTGACCAGACACAGAGGGACCACGGTGGATGCACCGGCTCCGAAACTGGCACCAAAGACCCCCCCCCCCCTCCCAACCTACTGAAACCTGAGCCCTGGCACAACCCACCCCGGGAAGTGCAGGCACCTCCCCCTTTCCCCCTTGAGCACCAACAAATCTGAAACAGGGCAGCAACTGGCAGAAGCCACTGACAAAGACTGAGTAGCACAGTGCTCTGGAAATAACAGTGGACAGAACAGAGATGAAAACTGTAAAGCCAGGGCCCAAGCAGAATCTAAAGAGAAAGTGAGGATGGCCTGCCGACATGCAAGACGAGGGGCAAAAAACATAGAAACGGCTTCCCGAAGGATCGGAGCAAACAGCTTCAACAAGGCAGCCAAAGCCTTGGCAGCTGAAACCAGAATCCCGGCCGAAGGCTCCCACTCAATGCCTACACATCCTCTGAAAGTCAAAATGAGGACAGCTCGAGAAGACCGATGAAGCGCAAGATGGAAGCCAAATGACCACGAGTTCGATGGTCATTTGGACATTTTGCCAAAGCAGCCAAAAGAGTGGGGACCTGAGCATGTAACTGCTCCAGACCCATATCACGGGAAAGCACAGGGGCAAAGAGGCATGGATTGAGGAACCCCAATGAGCCCCCATAAGAACTCCTGCATAACCGAGGAAACCTCTCTCCACTCAAGTGTGCGGCTCCGGCATAACCCACGCCAAGTTCCCAAGGAAAAGAAAGGACAGTCTGCCAGCCAGGAAGACTCGATAACCTCATAATGCACCCAATATGGGGAAGAAGAACCAAACTCAAAGGAAGCCGGAGCCATTAACAAGGCGTAAACCGGGTCTTGCAGGAGGTATGCACCAAGGGCCTCCCAAACCGACACAGAGGAAATCTGAAAGGAAAGAAACCTCTGGTAGGATGTATCTGAGGAACCCAAAGGCACCTGGAAATGAACCCAGGAAGGGGGGGGGGGGGAGCCACACCCAACTCAAATTCATATAGAGAAGGAGAATACAAAAAACCCTTGGTCCAGCAACAACAGGACCTGCTCAGAAGGCACAAAGGCCCAGGCAGGATGAAAAGGAGCCCAAGCACTCCAAGAAGACTATCCCCGGGAACCCCCTACGCAGGTCCGGAGCACAGCCTATATCCTAGCCCACAACCCATGAAGAAAAGGCAGAGTCCAAGAGAAAAGCTTCAAAGAGAGGAGTCTGGTGGGCCGATTCCAAAGCCTCGGTGAAGAATTCGGGCTCAACCTCCGTCCCCGAGTCGGAAGGGACTACTCCTGAAGCCACTCGAGCCTCATCACAAGATAAACCCCACAACAGTGCCCATATCTTAAGCAGCACATCAACAAACTGGAAAAGATGCAAAGACATGCTACTAAGTGGCTCCCAGAACTGAACGACAAGAGCTACGAGGAGAGGTTAGAGGCATTAAATATGCCAAAACTAGAAGACAAGAAAAAGAGGTGATATGATCACTATGTACAAAATAGTAACTGGAATTGATAAAATCGATAGGGAAGATTTCCTGAGACCTGGAACTTCAAGAACAAGAGGTCATAGATTTAAACTAACTAAACAAAGATGCCAAAGAAATATGAGAAAATTCACTTTCACAAACAGAGTGGTAGACGGTTGGAACAAGTTAAGTAAGAAGGTGGTGGAGGCCAAGACTGTCAGTAGCTTCAAAGCGTTATATGACAAAGAGTGCTGGGAAGACTGGACACCACGAGTGTAGCTCTCATTCTGTAACTACACATAGGTAATTACCGGCCCGGAAACCCTCAGACGTTAGGAGCAGGAGGGAAGGGAAACAACAGGGCAAACAACACCTACCAGAGAAGGAAGAAAGAGCATGGACTGAACCAAGGTTAAAGTATCCAACCGGGCAACCAGCCTGGCCCGTTGCCACACACAAAACCTAGCATGCAATCAAGCCGCCGTCTGATCCCCCAACATTCTTAGATGAAGAATGGATAAATTGAATAACAAGTGGAGAACACGTCCCACAAGACTCAGGGTCATAGGTGTCACTGACCCAACAGGCAGCATAACAGACACAGGATGGATGATTGTTACCACCACAAGGTAAAGGCAATGAACACGCCTTGGCATCGCACAAGATGAGGCAGGGCTCGGATGACACGTACATGGTACCCCGGAGCCCTACAGGGATTTCCAGTGCCCGTAGGGTATGTTAGCCCTACAGGAAGCTCATTCACTGGGGCCAGCCTAGCTAGTAACCTCTGTCTGCTGCAGGCAAACTGGCAACCTGGGGTCGCCGTGAATCCTCGAGGCAACAGAGGAGGACTACCAAACACAACCTAGGCTAGCCTAATGGGAAGCTAGGCAGACCAACTCCACCAAGGAAGTGCGAATGTGCTTAAAAACAAAGAAACAAAATGCCCCCAAAGCAACATATGCAGACTAACTGATTCCCAGAGAGATTCCTCGGCTGCCATTGAATGCAATCTGCGCCGGCTGCAGTGTGCCCCACCCAGCACAAACCCACTCCCTACTTGGAGCAAAACGGAAAGTCCAAGACCCCCGGCGAACCCCAAGGGCGAGAACAACACCAAATGATCAAGGCCTCAAACGACCCAGGGAAGAAAACCCTGACCCACAAGAGAAGTACTTACTGGACACCTAAGGAAGGGAACCCTAGGCGCATGCAGCCCAGTATACTTGTAGGAACACCTAACCACCGCACAACACAGATTAAAAAGTCACAAACGCAAAGCCCGACAATAATTGAGGCCAGAGAGGACATGTGAACACCGGCACATCAGTCTACAAACTGGAGGTTGTGCGGCCAACTCACCTGAGAGGGGTCCCCCTCCACCCATTGGGTGAGGTGCTAACGAGTGGGCGTGCTAGTTAGATGATGTATTGCTTGTTTCATTGTTTTCTATTGGGGGCATTCTTTGGCTCTGTTGGGACGTAGGTTGCAATTTTAACCAGTTAAAGGTTTGTAATGGTTTGCCTACCTTTCTCCCCGGTTGATGGCAGACATGACAAACTCTAAATGTAGTGCTCATATGACCATTGCTCCCTGCACCTCTCTGAGGGGGGCTAGATTCTGGGTCGTGGCCCATGGAAGGTATTCAAACTCCAAGGACTGATGGCACCAAACTAATATGGCTACATGTCAGTTTGATAGCTTCAGGGAGCCCTGTTGGCTCCCCACAGAAAATGCCTCCAAATATACCATCACTAAGACTAGCCACAAAACTGTTTTATTATCACACTCCTGACACTAAATCCTGAATATGAATTTATTTCCACAAGGTTATATTCTACAGGAGCACGAGTACGTTTCATGGTATGTACATGCACGAAACAATGACTTAGTGCTGTGGCTGTCTGCCTCGTGCTGTGAACATCGTAACTAGCATTGTGTTCACTGATATCTGAACATTGTATATAGTCTTCCTTACAGTTAAAATCACCTATGACACTATCAAAACAAAATAGCCCCCTTTAGTTTACTTAGTTTATTTAACATCATTATGTGGTGGTGTGGCCTCTAGATGCACAGTGGTGGTGTGAGCTGCAGCTGCACGCTAGACCAGCCTCGGTCCCTTTCTCGGTACTCAGGCTCTCACAGCCCGGAGGGATGCAGATAATGTTTTTTTTTCAAGATGGCATCTGTTTACCGGAGCCCTGAAGAACAGGATATGATCCCTGTGCACTCGCATGCGTTTTATATATTATTTTATACTTAAAGACAACCCTGGTTGTAGAGTGCACCATAGATGAAACAACCCTGGTTGTTGTGCACACCATAGATGAAACAACCCTGGTTGTTGTGCACACCATAGATAACACAACCCTGGTTGTTGGGTGCACCATAGATAACACAACCCTGGTTGTTGGGTGCACCATAGATGACACAACCTAGGTTGTTGGGTGCACCATAGATAACACAACCCTGGTTGTTGGGTGCACCATAGATAACACAACCCTGGTTGTTGGGTGCACCATAGATAACACAACCCTGGTTGTTGGGTGCACCATAGATGACACAACCCTGGTTGTTGGGTTCACCATAGATGACACAACCCTGGTTGTTGGGTTCACCATAGATGACACAACCCTGGTTGTTGGGTGCACCATAGATGGAACAACCCTGGTTGTTGAGCAGTTGAAGGGTTAAACACATCTGGCGACCCTGCCCACCAGCTACTAAAAACTAGCCAAATCTATCAATCCTCTAACTGTTAGTTGAGGTCTGTGTGACGAAGAGAATTAATTTTGTGATATTTATGCTTTCTGAATGCTAATTAGCAATATGACAGGAACAGATCATTTTTTTGTGGACATATGAGGATAGGTAAAGAATATTGGTACGCCACATTTTTAGGGTTTATAGATATAATTACAGTATAGTATTTAAGCATCCAATAATGGTTATGTCAAATATAACATTATAGAGTACCTGTGTTGTCTGCAGTGCTACTTGTACTGTCTGCTGTGACAGCCCCCCACCAGCAGAGGAACCAACTGTTCCCCCACCACCGCCACCTCCACTCGTCCCGCCACGCACTGATGTAAACAGCTGCCCTCCAACACCTTGCACCTGTCGTGTTATTAACCACTCATTGTAATACACACTCACATTTATTGCATTTATTGACATACAATTCTTGAAAATTTACCCCCATGGTTTCTAACTATGGTCATATAAACCAATCACATGCTTTCACATAGTTTGGTTTCTAAATGGGTACAGCTAATTTTTTTTTGTTAATTTAAGCACTACATGCACTTAAGAGATGAGTTTATGATGATACTCAAATGAAGACTAAAGTCTTCCAAACCTGCAGAACTGGGATTGACGATGATGAGCCACCTTGCTGAGCAGATGACTTGGCTAACTGAGCTGCCAGTTGGGGAGAATTCAGCTGACCTGCAAGTTAAGAAATAAATGAAAGTACAGTGGGTCTGTGTTCCTAGAAATTCCCAAATTGTCTGACGGTATCAGTTGGGCACAAATTATTAAGTGAACCAATAATTGTTTGTTTCAGGGAGGACTGTACTTACCTGTTTGTACTCACCTAGTTGTGCTTGCGGGGTTGAGCTCCGGCTTACTGGTCCCGCCTCTCAACTGTCAATCAACGGGTGTACAGATTCCTGAGCCTACTCGGCTCTGTTATAACTACACTTGAAACTGTGTATGGAGTCAGCCTCCACCACATCACTGCCTAATGCATTCCACCTGTTAACTACTCTGACACTGAAAAAGTTCCTTCTAACATCCCCGTGGCTCATTTGGGTACTCAGTTTCCATGTGTGTCCCCTTGTTCACGTATCACCCATGTTAAACAGTTTATCCTTGTCTACCCTGTCAATTCCTCTGAGAATTTTGTAGGTTGTGATCATGTCTCCCCTTACTCTTTTGTCTTTCAATGTTGTGAGGTGCATTTCATGTAGCCTTTCCTCATAGTTCATGCCTATTAGTTCTGGGACTTGCCTATTGGCATACCTCTGAACTCTATCCAGCTTCGTCTTGTGCTTGACAAGGTACAGGCTCCATGGCTGGGGCCGCATACTCCAGGATTGGTCTTACATATGTGGAATACAGGGTTCTGAATGATTCCTTACACAGGTTCCTGAAGGCGGTTCTGATGTTAGCCAGCCTCGCATATGTCGCAGATGTTATTCTTTTTATGTGGGCTTCAGGAGACAGGTTTGGCTTGATAACTCCTAGATCTTTCTCTCTGTCCATTTCATGAAGTACTTCATCTCCCATTCTGTATTCTGTGCCTGGCCTCCTGTTTCCACAACTTAGTTTCATTACCTTACATTTACTCGAGTTGAACCTTAGTAGCAATTAGTTGGACCATTCATTCAGTTTGTCTAGGTCCTCTTGAAGCCTCATACTGTACTCCTAAGCCATTGCCACACCTGGCTGTAAGGATATGGTCATGCTATCGTCCAACCTAATTGTAAACTGTTGCAGAATACAATTTAACCTTCATATGCACGACTTTTATTGTGACATTCTTGTGGGGTTTGTTTTGTTATGCCTACCTTTCTGGGTGCTTAACTCCAATTGATGCCAGATCAGGAAAACCCCCAACCACAGGGGGGTTTCCAGGACCATTGCTCCCTGCACCTCTTTGAGGAGGGACAGGTTCTGGCTCGTGGTCCCCAGTAGGCTGAACTCAATAGACTAATGCCCCGGTCTAATGTATCACACAACAGCCTGATAGCACTAGGGAGCTGTAGGGGTTCCCCACGGAAAGCGACTTACTTTGGCTGTGGCTATGTGGAGAAGATGCGATGTGGCGTCTCCAGAACATGATCGCCCATGCAGGGCGCTCCCGGAGGTGGTCGCATGGGTAATTACCTAAGTGTAATTACCTAAGTGTAGTTACAGGATGAGAGCTACGCTCGTGGTGTCCCGTCTTCCCATGACTCTTTGTCATATAACGCTTTGAAACTACTGACGGTCTTGGCCTCCACCACCTTCTCAACTAACTTGTTCCGACCGTCTACCACTCTGTTTGCGACAGTGAATTTTCTTATATTTCTTCGGCATCTGTGTTTAGCTAGTTTAAATCTATGACCTCTTGTTCTTAAAGTTCCAGGTCTCAGGAAATCTTCCCTGTCGATTTTATCAATTCCTGTTACTATTTTGTATGTAGTGATCATATCACCTTTTTTTCTTCTGTCTTCTAGTTTTGGCATGTTTAATGCTTCTAACCTCTCCTCGTAGCTCTTACCCTTCAGTTCTGGGAGCCACTTAGTAGCATGTCTTTGCACCTTTTCCAGTTTGTTGATGTGCTTCTTAAGATATGGGCACCACACTACCGCTGCATATTCTAGCTTTGGCCTAACAAAAGTCGTGAACAATTTCTTTAGTATATCGCCATCCATGTATTTAAAAGCAATTCTGAAGTTAGAAAGCATAGCATAGGCTCCTTGCACAATGTTCTTTATGTGGTCCTCAGGTGATAGTTTTCTATCTAGAACCACCCCTAGATCTCTTTCTTTATCAGAATTCTTTAAAGATTTCTCACATAATATATAGGTTGTGTGGGGTCCATGTTCTCCTATTCCACATTCCATAACATGGCATTTATTAACATTAAATTCCATTTGCCAAGTTGTGTTCCATATACTTATTTTGTCCAGGTCTTCTTGAAGGGTATGACAATCAATCTTCTTGAGGTTATCTTGAGATGATTTCGGGGCTTTTTTAGTGTCCCTGCGGCCCGGTCCTCGACCAGGCCTCCACCCCCAGGAAGCAGCCCGTGACAGCTGACTAACACCCAGGTACCTATTTTACTGCTAGGTAACAGGGGCATAGGGTGAAAGAAACTCTGCCCATTGTTTCTCGCCAGCGCCTGGGATCGAACCCAGGACCACAGGATCCCAAGTCCCGCGTGCTGTCCGCTCGGCCGACCGGCTCTCTCTCGGCATCAATAGGTGATTTAAGACTCACGAGTTGCCACAAATATATTTTCACTAATTTTTTCAATGCACTTTCAATGCTTTCTAATCACTTTTTTATCGTATCTGATGCACATTTGTGTCCTTTACAATACAGCAAGTACACAGAAGAACATTCATAATGTTCCAAGGAACTGTGACACATGTGTCACTAACGGATCCACAATTTTTTTTTATTGTTGCAATATTGAAATAATTTATTATTTCAATATTGTTGATATATGATTCGATATTCAATTTATTTACACTATGTACACACACTCACACGATTTACACAGTCATACACTGTATTACACGCTCAGTACTTCGGAAGTAAGTGATAACAGCAGCAGATCATGGTACACAGTGCGACTTTGCACTCGATGCCCAGGTACACACAGATTTTCGCTTCCTGTTTCTTCGTTGTGCGCACTTGCAAACAATGAACTCACAGACACATTTGGCTTTAGTTCCTGTAGGTGGTATGTAGTCAAGCTTGTGGAGTGTAAGGAAGTCTTGAAAATATCTAGGAAAAGATCAGTGGCAAAATTCTGTCCTGGTACAAATTAATTGTGAAATTTTCGTCTGATATCACTGAACAATTTTCACAGTTTCCGAAGTCGATAATTTCGATCAACATTTGCAATGTTTTCAAAATTTAGGCACTGTAGAAATATGAGGAACCTGTCTCATGACATGTACTTGTTGAACACTGGGCTTGGAACTGCACTAACTTTGTTCCAATAATCCTGTATTAGGTGTTTCATGCAATGTTTCATTAGCATACACAGAGCTAAGAATACACATAATTCAGCCAGAGTGGTGTCCTTCCATTGTGTCATTCATGAAGCAGGTAATAAGCCACCTGCAATAGGGGAGCCGGTCGGCCGAGCGGACAGCACGCGGGACTTGTGATCCTGTGGTCCTGGGTTCGATCCCAGGCGCCGGCGAGAAACAATGAGCAGAGTTTCTTTCACCCTATGCCCCTGTTACCTAGCAGTTACATAGGTACCGAGGTGTTAGTCAGCTGTCACGGGCTGCTTCCTGGGGGTGGAGGCCTGGTCGAGGACCGGGCCGCGGGGACACTAAAAGCCCCGAAATCATCTCAAGATAAGTCAAGATAACTCAAGGTTGTGGTTGCAATGCACACCTGTTGGTTTTGTCAAGATGTTGCATGAATGGCTCATCAATATAAGCCATAAACACTAGGTTCATTTATGCTACTTGTATCAGAAGCAGCATCACTGAACCCAGAACACAATTCACCTATAGTACTCACTGGAGCTCTCAAGCATCCATCTCGTACCCAACCTACCGTGCTCTCGTTTTTAATCTCATGATATCCTAACATTGCTTACGAGTCAGGTGGCGCACATCACATACCTCATGTTTTGTCGTTTTGCCTGCCGTTTCGCGAGTGCTTTGGCCTGGGTTCGTATCCTGACCACGGGAGGATTTACTGGGCACCAATCCTTAATCTGTAGCCTCTGTTCACCTGACAGTGAATGGGTACCTGGTCGATAAACGATCTGGCGGGTCGTATTCCGGAGAAAATTAGGATTATGAACTTGCCCAAAACCCTATACATGCTAGTGGCTGTACAAGAATGTAAGAACTCTTGTATATAAATAAATAAATAAAATATTCCCTTTCACTCATATCTTCACCTATATATGGGAAAGTGAGTGCAACACCAATATCAGTACTGTATAATCAAACTGTGGTTTGTGTGGTACAAAATTATTACAGTCCTCCCTCACAAATTCACCCATACTCCTTGTACTGGCACCACCACTACTGGCAAGTAACACCACCATGGAAGCTGCTAACACTGTTCATCTATGCCACATGTATCAGAAGCAGCATCACTGAACCCAGAAAACGATTCATCTATAGTATCACTTTCTTCAAAAATTGGAGCCGACACTGGTGATGATGATAATGGCGAGGGCGATGGCCTGGGAGGCCGCAGCACACCTGTCGCTTACCCTGTATGGGATATGCTCGCTGTATCATCCTCATCCGTGCTGTATCACGTGTATCCACCACTAGTATTAGGTCTTTATTGTGCTTTGCTTCATCAATATCACTACCCTTATCTTCTTCAAACTATAAGGTCTGAATTTCCTCATCAGAGAGCAACTTTTTGACACCGCGTCCGACGGAATTGGGAGTCAGAGGCTCGTTCACCAGCCATAGTGGCTCACTCAAAACTGAGCCAACCCATGGCCTTACCTAGTGTCTATCTTGTGTAGCTGGCTCTTCCTTGTGTATCAATAGCTCTGCGGGAGACCAGGCATCCCGGGGCATGCTGGGAGGCATGAATTGAATTATTAATTCACCCTCAAATGAAGACACGAGGTTGTTTTGACCAAGCCGGAAGTCAGCCACTCCACAATGACCTGATGGAGGTGAGGGGGAAGAGGCCAGTCTCAAAGGCTCTGATCTCTGGAAAGGGAAAGGACTGACCAACTCCACCAAAGGTCTCAAGAAACTAGCCAAAATGGTCGCAAATCGTGGGACTAGGAGTCCTGCAAACTGGGGGAACCCCCCCCCCTCCGCCCTATTAAAGGGGAAAACTGCAAAAGAGCCAGAGCAAACCACAAACAGTGGTATTCTTCTGCAAGGCACAAGAGCTCCATCCCCCAAACGAGGGAGAGGAAGGGCGAATGAGCTCATGTTAGTTTCCTGAGTTTTAAATTGTTTGTTTACATTGTTAGGGGAATTTTTTTGGCAGTTCTCAACTGCCATCATTTCCTGCACCTCTTTTAAGGGGCCAGGTTCAGGCTCGTGGTCCTTGGTAGGCCTAGAAGAACTCTGTGACTGATGGCATCTATTAGTTTGTCACAGTAACAGAAATAGTAGCTTCAGGGAACCACAAGGGGCAGTCCGCAGAAAAAGCACCACCCAGGAGCACATGGAAGACTTAAATGCTGCTGTTGTACATCAGCAGCATTAAAGCCAGTATGAGTAGTAAAGTACGCTGTATATCATTCTTTAAAACATTTCTGTACAGCACTAGAAGCAAATTGATATAAACAACTTACTTATTGGCAGTTGAACAACTTGACCCTGCTGCAAAGTTGGCTGACTGGCTATCATTACCGTTGCTGCAGACGTGCCTGCCGTCGTGCCCGACACCTTCGTTGCAACCTGAGGTTTTTAAAACATAACATATATATATGATAAACAGCATCAGTATTAAAGTTTTCATTATGCAATTCATATCTATGTACTGTATACAGTGAACCCACATATTGGAAACAGGTAAATGTAGCATCTTTTCAGTTCATCTTGACACATTTTGAAAACAAACTGACAAGCAAGGACAGCAACAGAGATAAAAGGAAAATGGGCATTATAGCAAAGTGAGGAGTGTAGAGGAAGCACATAGCTCACATGGTGATAGGATGATAGAACAAAATGGGTAGGTCGAGAGGCAAGAAAGGATAGGTGAAAAATATAGTACTTAATACAGTGAAATGCCTCTCCGGTGGGTCCCTCAATGACTACCTGGAAGTTGGGGGTAGCCTTATATTGTATCATGTCCCACCGGGCCCTTGTGATTCATAAAAGCTACAGTGAAGCTCCAACCTGGTCCACTCAAAATATGGCACCGGGAAATCTGGGTAACTTAATCAACAAAAAACCAGCGTTGAATGTAACAAAACATCATTTTCTGGGTGAGTCCCGGAGGCTTCCCGGAGCTTACTAGGCTCATATGCTAATGTCAGACTTTGGCATCAGTCATGTGTATGGAGTTCTTACGGGCCTACTGGGGACCACGAGCCAGAACCTAGCCCCCTCTAGAGAGGCAAGGGGAGCAATGGCTTATAGAAACCCCCGTGTAATTGGAAGCATTCTATGTCTGCCATTGACCGGGTTAGGCACCCAAAAGGTAGGCGTCCTAAAACAAACCCCTATTCTGGTGAAAATTGCAACCAAAAGCCGAACGAGAGAATAGAACTCCCCAAACAAAAATGAGCAAGCTAGTATGACGTCACCCATCATTGCGCCGCTGTCTGTGCAGTCTCCCCCTCCTCGGGAGGCGGAAGGGGTAGCCCCAAACCTACCGCGCCGGCGATCCACACTCCAGTTCTGAGGCTGCATGAGCCGATACGGCTCCCCGGAACTAACTACCCACAGAGGAAAAGAATACAGACTTGCCCGGGAGGTGGTTGCTGCTCACACCTCAACCCGAAGTCGAGACAACTGGCTGCAACCGCCGACCCAAAGCGACACAGGCCCGACTGGGTCCAGGAACGTATACAAGGTAACGAGCAGCCAGGACACTGTTTAACCGCCAAAATCCACGTGCCCGAATGTCAGCCCAGGACATAATGCCAAAGACGGTGGCAAGAGTCGCGAACTTGCGGACGTCATGGGCACGGGGATAGACTGCAGGCTGGCTAACCTCAATAACACTGCGGACGACCTGGGAGACCTGCACCCTCGAACAGGGAAGAAGGGAAACCGGATCAACCCAAAGCGCATCCACGGACACGGTACGCAGCTAACGGCAAAAAGCGCAACCGGACAACACAGGGCGCACCCCTGGCCGAACTAATCGAGCATCAATAACCCAAGAACCCCTCCGCAAAGCAGCCGTCTCGACCATCGCCAGAAGGATGGGGAAAGGCTGCAAACGTACACACCTACCACCAGAACCAAAGAGCAGAAACCTGAACTGAAGGGGCTACTACAAACTGAGAAGATAAGAAGGCACTCTGATCAAGGACCAGGATGGCTCAGGCGACGCATGAGCAGGCTGGAGGTGAAACAAAACACGAGAAAGCGTACAAAACGAGGCTGATGTGACGTCCAACCCCAAACGCAAGCCGGAATGGCTCCACCAGCGCCGCACAAAACGAGGTGACAGTAAGAAACATCAAATAACTGCAGTCCTGAAAACCCAAGAAAGGAGAAGACAACCTACGAAGAGCAAGAAAAAAGTGCATAGAAACACCAGGAACGTCATACTGTCGCCGATACGAAGCTCGCAGATGGGACACCATCAACAAAGCCACCTGATCACCACAGAGATAGTGATACCTGCGTCAAAATACTAGATGCAAAGAGCCGAGGAGAAGGCCGAACCAGTCATGTACAAGACCGGTCCAACCTGCCGAAAGAGACGGAGCCGCAGGAAAACGCCCCGGGTTCGGAAACCTATCAAGCAGTGTCTGAAAATAAGACTGGGCCAGCCACCAAGGAACCATAAGGACTGCTCTCGTGGGAATGGGCTCCAACCGAGCCAGAACCCGAAGCAACAGCTGGACCAGGAGAAGAGGAACAGGTACACCCACCTCGACCAGTCCTGCCGAAAGGCATCCACCGTGAACGCCTCGCAGGCGGGTAAGGGCGCCACACAGAATGGGCTACGCCTAGACCATGCCGACTCGAAGACGTCCATAGCCAGGAGTCCATACGTCCGGCAGAGCCAACGAAATGAGTTGGCGACGACTGGCCAATCCGCGAACAGAGGAATGAACCGAGACAGCTGTCCGTCAGGACGCAGGACACATCCTGGACATGAACCTCATGGTTAGCCAAACCCCGAGAATCCAGCAAACGAGACACTTGAAGGGATCAACCCCAAAGGTCAAACACCTAAGAGAAATTCTGTGGTTCTGGCAAAGAAATGCCAGAGAACAGTCCGAATGGAGCTGAATGGTAGAGCACCGAGTGACCCAAACCCTCCGAAGCGCAAACCAGACATGCACGAACTCCCGAACCATGCTGTGAGCCCGACGGACGGACAGACCTTACCATTCCCGGCCGACCTGGTGAGCACTGGTCACAAAGCCCCAGCCGAGAGATGATCCGTCCGTGAACACATTGAGCGAGGGCTCGGGGAGGTGCCAAGGCACGGAACCCCGAAAACCCCAAAGAGGAAGCTGGTGACGCAGCACCAACACAAGATCCCCGGAGGAATGAACCCAACGATTGCAAGAGAGGCGGAAGGGGAGTCTCCGAAGGAACCAAACAGACGCCGAAGCCAAACCCGACCCCACGGGCAGACCAGCACACCTAAGTTCAGACTCCCGCACATCTGCTCGAGCAACCGCCGAGCAACCCAGGACCCCCTCGTGAACAGCCGAAGGCGGGACCACAGCCGCAGTAACACTTCTGGAGGGAAAGACAATGAGTGGCCCAATAGCCCTAAACAAGACACAGCCAGGTCCAAACCTGGGACGAAAACAGATGGAACGGCCTCCAGATCACCAGAAAACCAAACTTGGCGATCTGGAAAGAACCACACACCTGGCGAGCAGACAAGTGGATCGACTGGGAGCCCACACCAGCCAGATGTCGAGGTAGACCAGACACCGAATCCCAAGCAGACTCAGACAGGGCACCAAGATCCGATAAAGATGCATAAATACACCAAGTGCCAAATACAAACTAGGGAAGACAACAAAAGCGGTAAGCCTGAAGCCCCACCACCAACTGTGCCAGTCCCGGAAAACTGGAGAAGAACGTGCCAAGAATTGACCTGGAGGTCCAGGGCCACCATCCAGGCACCCGGCCCCAACAGAAGCCAGATCGGAGACAACAGTCCTCCGATGAGGGCATAGAATCCAGGGCGCAGACTGAAGAAGTCCAGAAGAACTACAGATTCGCCAGGCCCGTGTCTGCATAGAGCAGACGGGAACCTCAGAAGGATGGGGTGGATCGACCATGTCCAATGCACCCACTAAGATGACATGAGAAGGAGAAGAAGCCCACCTCGCCAGCCCTGAACCCCCCAAAGGGGAAGACAACCAGAGGCCGGAAGACAACCAAAAGTGCCCACTAACTGCGGGACCATGTGAGAGTCAACAGAGCAAACTGCTCCCCCAGCGCCCCGTCAACAGTGAAGGGAAAAGAGCCCCTTCCGAAAGGGAAAGTATACATACATATACAGGTACAGTGGTACCTCGGAATGCGAGTGTCCCTGTATGCGAGTTTTTCGGAAGACGAGCAGGATTTCCTCGAAAAATATGTCTCGGAAGGCGAGGGTTACCTCGGGACGCGAGTTTGTTGATACGCGTACAGGCCGACCTAGCGCGTGGTGGTTCGGCGATCGTCGCCCCTCCACCCCTCCGCCCCTCAGTTTACCATTGTCTCGCGCCCAGTGACTACCCCACATCAATTCTTCTCGCGGATTTTCAGTGTTTTGTTGGATTTTTGGTGATTTGACTATACAATTTGTTATTATATATCTCACCATGGGTCCCAAGAAAGCCAGTGGTAAGGATAAAGGCCAGAAAGCCCATGTGAGGATGACAATAGAGGAGAAACAAGAGATCATTCGGAAGCATGAGAACGGTACACGTGTTGTTGAACTTTGTAGGCAGTACAACAAAGCCACATCAACAATATGCACTATACTTAAGAAGAAAAATGAGATTATGGGTGCTAAAGTGGCAAAAGGAGTCAGAACAATAACGAAACAAAGACCACAAATACTTGAAGAAGTGGAAAAGTTGTTATTAATTTGGATACACAACAAGGAGTTAAGGGGTGACAGTGTTTCGGAGGCCATTATTTGTGAGAAAGCCAGGGTTTGGACAGATTTGTGGTGAGGAAATCGAGCAGTGAGCCTCAACCAGGACCTAGTGGCACTCAGATAAAACGTCCCAGGGAGAGCACACCAGAAAGGTCTTCACTGCCTGATGTGATAATGGAAGGGGACTCCCCTTCCAAACAGTAACTCCTCTCCTCCTCCCCCCTCCTCACCATCTTCCATACGCCTACAGCATTCAACAGCAAGGTAAGTAATAACTGGAACATAGTTTTGTAGGTTTATTTAGATGAATTAGGTATAAAAATTTAGTTTGATGTGGGGCTTTTGGGGTAGTCAGGAACGGATTAATTCATTTCCCTTTATTTCTTATGGGGAAATTAGCTTCGGAATGCGAGTTTTCGGAATACGAGGCATCTCCAGGAACCAATTAAACTCTTAAACTGAGGTATGCCTGTATACATATATATATATATTATGTACATATACATATGCATATATACACAAACACATAAAAACACACACACACACAAGGTATATTACACACGTGCATATGCTGGGACTTTGGGGTTTTGTTGTTGAGGTGGGCCTTTTGATGCAGTTTTGTGCCTTCTTCCCCTGTCCGGCGTGGTGCTCTCTGCCCACT